TATCACATAAAAATATTTAAAATTACATAAATAATAAATATAAAATTACACGATAAATGATGAAAATGTAGCTTTTTATTATTTGTCGTGTAATTTTACACTTATTATTTATATAATTTTACTTATTTTAATGTAATATTACATATGTAATTTTACATATGTAATTTTACATATGTAATTTTACATATGTTTACATATGTAATTTTACATATGTAATTTTACATATGTAATTTTACATATGTAATTTTACATATGTAATTTTACATATGTAATTTTACATATGTAATTTTACATATGTAATTTTACATATGTAATTTACATATGTTTAATGTAATATTACATACGTAATTTTACATATTTTTAATGTAATATTACATATTTTTTACAGTGTAAATCCGAAAGTTTATTTCCCACGTAACTCACATGTGAAGTATCGAGGAACTAAATGTCGATTCAGTTTGTTTTTCTATAATTCAATAAGCCACGAGTAAACCTTGACTTTAATGATTGAGTTTTATAATTGCGATCTCTCTCTCTCTCTCTCTCTCTCTCTCTCTCTTTCAAGAGGAAGAAATGTCAGCATCAGCGTCGTGGCTGCGTTCTCATATTTTCGCAAACTAATAAGATTCTCCAATTAGATCCGCGATGATGTATCGATCGACGACGTGACGTAACTTTGCCGACGTCGTTACGTAATCAATGTCGCGAGCGAGAGAGTCGGTCGATCGCTTCTTCATTCTTCTCGATCTCGCAAGGAGAGGAAACTGCGATCGCAATTTTTCACGTGTCAGACACTCGTACGATTGTGTTTGTCGTCAGTCCCGATCGATAGATGCATCGCCATGTTTCGATATGCTTTCATGTTAAATGCAGCGAACTTCGAAGAAGCGGAGCGAGAGGGTACATAAATAATGGAACGCGGAATCCGGGAAAGGAAGAAGAGAAAGGGGTACCGAGACTCCGATAAAGTTTTACCGGTTGTTTTTAAATAAATAAGATGGATTCTTATCTCGACGGAAATTGACAAAGGAGAGACTCGCGCTTTCCATTTTCAACAAATTCGTCTTCAATTTAGATAAGCGAGATACAAAGCTTTTACTTATGTAAGATCCTAGGATCGGAGACATTGAAGAGTTATATCACATTCGGCGGATTGTTCTTTTCAAAATATAATAATGTCTTACGTGAATTTTCAATATTAGTGTAAACGTTAAAATTGCTTAATAATCAATTTTGCCACGACGCATTATTGATACAAGAGTTTTTTGTACATTTCAAATGCAAAATATTGAAAATAATGCGTTTAAATATTACTGTTTTTATAAATAAAATAATATGTAAAAATTTAATTAGAATATTTATTTGAAATCCCATAAAAACGGAATAATGGAAGTATTATTAAACTTTAAATTAAACGGAAATTTTTATGTGGATTAAAATTTTCGAGCTTGCAATCACTATTTTACATATTTTATATACATTTCATTCATGTATATTTGATATTATTTTTAAATTATAGTATTTCAAATTATTCAGTAAAAGAAAATATAAAAATGATAATACAAAAATAATATTAGAAAAAATTTATTAAATTAATAAAATATTTCTTTCAATTATCCTTGTTTGTTTGATTAATAATGACTTGATAAAACATGAACAAAAACTAATTTAAGACACATAAACTGTAAAAGAGAAATAAACAAGGAAAAAATATTAATTCGTGAAAATAATACTTATTGTTAAATATTTGTTTACTGTTACCCTTCTTTAATAATTATTTCAATTAATTCAAATATATGTACACGTTATATAATTTGATATAAAAATAAATTATTATTTTATATTCAATATTAAAATTCAGTAAGAAGGATAATTACCACATTAACTATTTTCTATTATATATTATTCAAATTATTCAGTAAAAGAAAATTAAAAAAAATAATACAAAAATAATATTAGAGAAAAATTAATTAAATTAATAAAATGTTTCTAATTCAAGACACATAAAATGTAAAAGAGAAAACATTTTTTGTTCCTTCTTTAATAATTAATTTCAATTAATTCAAACATACACGTTACATAATTTGATATGAAAATAAATTATTTATTATTCAACTTGACATATATCCGTTAATGCTTGACACAACTATATATACGCCGATAATCTCGTTGAAATTAAATAAATTTTTAATTACCCTACATTGTAAATTGCCTGTTTTACAACTATACATTACGTCTTGTCATCGATCTTGCACGGAGAGGCTGCACATTTCGTAACGACGATGATTGTATTTTCAACTTTTGTTTTTACACGCGCGTGCATATAACGAGTCATGTGCGCAATTTGTAAACGCCCCCGCTCACACAGAGTCGGCTCGATTATGCGAACCCGCGCGTGCGAAGGATGCACAATGGCGAGAGAACGAGAGGAATAAGATGAGGAACGCGAGGCGGGAGGCCGATGTGAAGCAATGTGTTTGAGGTATAATTGGCTAAGCCAAGTTCAAACGCAATCGTGTCTCTGGTCGGGTGACATTCCGCGAGCAGACGGGCCTTTGGTATGCAAAATCCATCGGGGGAAGCGTGCGTGTTTTTGTACGTGAGTGCAAAAGAGGCGAGCGCGAATAAAGAAAAAAAAAAAAATTCGAAAGAATGAAACCACCGCTTTGCATCGACTTTATGTCGATAACAATCGCCATATGTATCTCGCGATGAAAATTACGGTATTAAAAAAATCCATTTTCTCGAATTATTCCATTTTTTTTTGTCCTATTTATTCTTATTGCTATTGTCGAATTAATTTAATAAAATTAATTAAAGTACTTCTCTTTGTTTTGTATTATTTTTCTAATATTTTTTTCCGCATAAGGAATCGTGAGAACTATTAATGAAATTAGTATAATAAGAATAATAAATTGAGATTATATAATTTCATAATTTATACAAAAATATTAAAGAGCAAAAAAGAAATTTTTTAAATATAAAGATTGTTCACTCATATTTGTATAAATAAAATTCACAACGAAATATCTATTTATTAAGCTTTGAAGATTTAAAGTTTAATGGCTTAACTTAAAAACCCCTAAGAAGATTAAAATAATTAAAAATTATTATAAATTTGATAAAAATAATTTAAAAATGTAGGAAAAATTTTGTTACCAAAAATATATCAAAATTAATGCTCTACAAAAAATAATTAATTCAACATACTGTAATGAAAAAGATTGATTCGACTTTTTAGCGATTGATCGAATATGCCGTTCCTCAATTCTCTTTCCGCAAAGAGACGTCATCATATAAACGATCGACAGAGACACGATCTCGGATGGAACTGCGTAATTGCAATTACTTAACTGACAATTAATCGCATTGCCTCGACGTTTTCCTGGATATAGTCCCATTCTTTTACGTATCTTCGCGAACGCGGGAAAAGGCCGCGTGTCGACGAGGCTTTAAACAACGAAGGATCCTCGCATAATAGCATCTTCGGCCGCGTGACGTAACGTTAACGATGATAGAAAACAAGCTTGGAGCAAGGAAAACGATCATCGAAAGGACTGACTGAGAGTCGACGTAATAACTCACCCGCAATTACGTAATCATCTGCGTAATCAGCGGAAAATTTGTTAAGCGCGACGTCAGATAAAATGCTTTTTTTTTCCACACACTTGAAAAGTTTCTGTTAATAGATATCATATGTCCCAAACGGTCCACAGAAATTTTTGTGTTAATTTAACATAATATGTTAAATGGAGACACGAATATTGTGTTAATATTTTAACACAAAATAAATGCAAATCTTTAAATAACTTAAAATAAATTTTGTGTAAAATTAACATACTTTTAATGTAAAAATTGTATGTTAATTTTAGATTTTATCATCCCAACTTATATTATAAAATAGAAAATCAACATTCTTTCCTGTAAATTTTAACAGAGATAAATCTTGTCACTAATAAAGCAGAATATATTTATTTTGTAAAATTAAAAATAGATGCACATTGTGTTATTTTTACATTTTTTTCAGATGTTTTACTAATTTAACATTTAAGTTCAATCAACAAAACAGATATAATATGTTAAATTAACACATGAATGTGTTAAATATTAAACACCAAAATTTTCACGGGAACCGTTTTTAACAAAAAAGCACAACTTTTTCTACTGTGCAAGGTTCGTCGGAAGCTCGCGCGATTTAGTCTCGGGGATAAAATTAATCGAGGAGAAAAAATGTTTTGCCGTTGCGCGACCGTCTCGGCGAGATATCGAGAGATCGATTCGCGCGCGGTTACGATTTCGTCGCGGAATAACTTACGAAATCGATCCGCGCAGCAGCAGCTGCCGGGATATATTTGCGCGAGGCAGTCCATTGGTAAATTAACCGGAATCTGGGCCAGTTACAACATTCGACGGCGAGGCGCAATCTTTGACACAACACGACGACGACGAATATCTCGCGCGAATCGCGCTGATGCCAAATTTAAATCCGACAACCGGCGCATCTCGCGATATCTCGCGGTAGATAGTAGATGTGTATCGCGAGGGAAAGCGGTGGTGTGCATCAACCGGGAGAGTGTTGTGTCATCAAACCATTTAGCGGCTTAAACTAATTTTCTATATGTATATGTATTATCGTGTCGTCGCGAAATGCCTGCACATAAATCTGTTGATTGCAACACAGTTTGTAAAAGCGATGAATGAAAGTAAAATTGTTTCACGCGATATTTATATTAACATCATAATTGTAACGATATTTTTCTCATTCAAATCCAAGCTAGTTGATTGATCTTAATGAAAAATTTTTTTATATTATTTAACAATTTTTATATTATTTTGAAAATTTCTGATTTGCACTTTAATATTCCTGTATAAATTATTAAAATTATAATCTCGATTTATTAATTATATATTTAAATTATTTATTAGTACTGTAGAAAAATTTTAAGTTGATAATTCTGCAATATGAAAATATGTTAAAAATGTTCATTCTTATTTATATATAAATTACAAAAAGCGCTATATATATATATTAAATTTTGATCTGAAATCGAGTTCTTTTGAAACTTGAAAGCAGAAAAATGCAATTTATGTGGATCGATTGAATGTACAACAGAAATAATACAACGCAAACTTACGACGACTTTTATGAAGTGGAATACACACTGCGTTTCGCTTGCAATTCCTCGTAAAGAGTATCACCAGTCGTGACACGCGTGCAACACGAATATATATGAACCAGGAGCGATACGTCGAACGATTCGTGGAGCACGAATGGCGACTCCTCACGCCTAACTCGGGACTGTAAGTCAATATTTACGAGACATTTAATGGCGAAAGGGTAAGGCGCGCGATCCATAAGCGAGCTATCCGCAGGACACGCTTGAGCAAAATCAAAGTAAACGGGAGCGAAAGGGCATCCCTCGAAGAAATAGATTACAAATTTACGACGTAACAAGTTCGCCCGGGTACACTAAGTGGTTAAGCAACGCGACGAGTTGACAGGTTGTTATAGAAATAATTGTTGGATTGACATATATATACTTATACATATAAATTTTGTTTCGTCTTTCGTGTGATCGAGCTAAGGATCTTCTTTAAAGATTTTTTAAAGATTTCTTTCAAGATCCAGGCAAGCATCAAAGCATATATTAATCATATTAGATAACCATCTGATTCTGAGAGAGATTGCTGCATATTAACTTTATAAAGCCGGTTTTGCGTGTCGTTGAACCTAATCATGCATGCATGTGTATAATAATAATTTTCTAATTACATTTTTGGAAATGCAATATTTTTTTATATAAAAATATTTTTGTTTTATAATTTAAATTTTTAGTTATACATATTCTTTTTATTTATGTCTTCTTTATTTCTAATATGTTTTGTATTTTTAAATATTTTTCTTTCAGTCAAATATACCCATAATATGTTATCTACACTGAAAAAAATATTATATTCTAAATATTTATTTCAATACTGCCAATTAAATTATTTATTTGAAACAAATAAATATTTTTTACATCAAATAAATATTTTTAAATTCAAATAAATAATTCATTAGGTAGTTTTGAAATAAGTATTCATTCGAATTCAATAGATTTTTTAAATAATTTTAGAGAAATATAAATGACACTTTTTACTGCACCATTGATCTGCCTGTCCAATTATTGTCATTTTTATGCCATATATTTTGCAAGATAAATTACATAACTTTAGAAATTGTTGTCTAAAATACTCGTATATTTCTGTCCCAATTAATTGAAACTTCCGGGTGAGGAAATATTCACGAAAATCGCGATTTTCTGTCATTATTATCAATAATTGTTATCACTAATAATTTAACGCCCTGCTGCGATTTTTTAAAAGACTTACACGTTTGCAAACTGGAGTTTTATAGTACATCATATAAAATATACGAAGAAGTATCATCATCTTTTCATATATTTTATACTATATGATGTAATATAAAAATGATTTAGCTTGCATCCAAGCGTAAAAAAACCTTTGAAAAATATATGCACAGAAAAGCGTGTATTCACATTTTTTATTAAATTTATCCAGTAAGACTCTTGATATTTCATAGAACATTAGATAAGAATTGTCATTATAATTGTCATTAGTAATTTTTAAGTTTCATCAGCAATAATCCTTCATATTTTTTCCAGATTTTTGGATGCAGTCTGAATTAATTTTATATTACATTGCATAAAAAATCATATACTTGATATGGTGTAATATAAAGAAGAGCCACGCGCTTTCAAGCGGGAGCTTTAATTCGTACGGCTAGAATTGCGTAAGAACATCACATGCACGATGGCGACTTCGCAAGGTTGAAATGCGTGGAAACGTCTTTAAAGAGGCACGCTCACTCCGTAGTTAGGTATTATAAGATTAACACTCGGCAATAGAATCTCTTTCGGAATCACCTGCGGTCATCTAATGTGATTAATGTGAGCTTTGATCCTTCAGGAAGATACTCAGCTGGATCAGACTAATCAAGTTGTGCCTAACAAGGGACGAAATTCGCAAAAAGGAAAAATATCGATAAAATGTACATAAAATGTAGGTCAACTAAAATTGTATACATCTGCACCCTGAAGAAAGATTTGTTAATTTGACTAAATCTTTCAATTAAATTACTATTTTGTCGATTGAAATGTATATACTAGTATTTAAGTCAAATATACGTTTCGTGTTGGATTTATATTTAATATATTATATTTAATTTAAATATTTTTATATATTCAATTAACAAAATAATATTTAATTTAAAAGGTTTAATCAAATTGACACATTTTTTCAGTGTGAATATCTATTGATTTGAATCGGACAAAATTTGTGTAAACAATGACACGCGTAAGATAAAATCAATCAGTCGAAACGATTAGTTATCGAGAATATCTAGAATATACATCGATCAGCTGATTCATGTCAAGATCATCTTTACGATAGCGCGTAAAACAGATAGGTGTCAACTAATCGAATAAAGATGAGGTTCCCTCAAACTAACTCGGACTCGAGCTTTCGCAAGATTCGACAATAATAATAATAACAACAACAATAACAACAAGGACGAACAAAATGAAATTCCTTTGACAGGTGTCGAGATCTGTCGCCTCGTTTCTCTAATAACTCGGAACATAATTAAGATACTATTAAAGTTTAATGACATTAATAATTCATTAAAACGAACGAGGAAAAAGAGAAAAAAACGACGACTTGTTTCACGGACGACGGTATCGATCGAAACGTCATCACCGAGTTATACGCGATATATGTAATCGATACTATGCACTGCAAAAAAATTATTAAATTAATAAATATTTATTTCAATGCTGTCTAATAAATCATTTATTTGAAACAAAAAATATTTATCCGTTTCGAAAAGAATTTTTTTATATAAAATAAATATTTTTCCATCAAATGAATATTATATATTAGTTTCAAATAAATAATATTTATTAAGCATTATTAAAATTAATAAATATTTATTCCAATTCAATACACTTTTTCTCAATGCGCATACTTAAGTAAAAAAGGCCCGCTTCAACAAAGGTCGAAAGAGAAAGAGAGAGAGAGAGAGAGAGAGAAAAAGATCTCATTTATCTCCCGCACACATACACTAAATATATATGTATATATTTGGGCAGTGTTTGCTGTTATCTAAATAAAATTATATAGATGATCATTTAGATGAAACTTTGGCAACATCTTATCTTTATATAGATAATAAAAAATATGTATTATCTATATCTGTATCTTAGATGAAAAAAGTAGGTATTATCTTTACTAAATTATCTCGAATAATTTTCAGATAATTTTGGTTTAGAATCATATATATATGTTTCATGTCCTTTTTATAATTTACATTTTGTTATAACTGTGTTTACATAGGCAGTCTTAAAAATTATTATTTAGAAAATTATCTAGATAAATCGTCATATAATTTTATCTTTTGTCTAGATATATTTCAAACAAATCATCTTCATCTTATCTTATTGTTAGATAAATTCACATATTTTTATCTAATCTTTATCTAGCTAACTCCGTTTACATAAGCAGTCTTAAAAATTATTATTTAGAAAATTAGATCTAAATAAATCGTCATATAATTTAATCTTTTGTCTAGATATATTTCAAACAAAATCATCTTCATCTTATCTTATTGTTAGATAAATTCACATATTTTTATCTCATCTTTATCTAGCTAACTCCGTTTACATAAGCAGTCTTAAAAATTATTATTTAGAAAATTAGATCTAAATAAATCGTCATATAATTTAATCTTTCGTCTAGATATATTTCAAACAAATCATCTTCATCTTATCTTATTGTTAGATAAATTCACATATTTTTATCTCATCTTTATCTAGCTAACTCCGTTTACATAAGCAATCTTAAAAATGATTATCCAGAAAATTATCTAGATGAATCGCCATATAATTTTATCTTTTATCTAGATAAATCGCCATCTAACTTCATCTTTCATCCAGATATATTTCAAACGAAATCATCTTAAAATCCAAGATGAATCTCCATATTTCGCTCATCATCTTTATCTGGCTAATATCTCAATCATCTAAACACGACACTGTAATTGGGGCACAAATCGTCGACACAAACCGCCTTGAACGATGCATATACACACCTGTAATGATACGTGTTACTCCTCGAAGTCGCCGCTTAAAGCACCACACACACGTGTCCCCTTGTAAATCCGTCCCCGCGACGTCCCACCTGCGCGCACCTGCTACTACTTACCGGGATAGAAATATCCCGCGTATGTAATACACGCGCGTTCCAAGGTGTATACAAATATATGTTTACTCGCGCGCCAGTCAACACCGAACTCCTGAACCGCCGGGCGAATGGACGCGAGAGCTTTCTCCCGTTTCGCGCTTCGACCACCCTCCTTTTTTTTTCTCTCTCTCCCGCCCTTTCTCTCTTCGAACCTGCAAAAGCGAAAGCGCGAACGAGGAAGAGTAACACGCAGCTCGGTGTACCAGCGGAGACTGGCGGCTCGGCTTTCCCTCGGTCTCGTCGAGCGCTGCCCGCTACAGAATAGATATATAGAGCGCCCGCGTATATCGTGTGTATACCTATATACGAGGAGGGGGTGGGGGAGGAAGGGGGAGTCGAGTACACGAAGGTAAAACGATAGGTACCTCTCCGAGAGGAGGGACAGAGAGAGAGAGAGAGAGGAGTCGTACGCTCTCGGCGTTGTGACGTAATTCGAGTCATTCTGTACTAGTGTGTCTACACGTCCGTGTAGAGGGGTGCGAGAAGAGGAGGGGGGAGAGGGCAAGGGGCGTCGGCGCGATCCTCTCTCTCTCTCTCTTTGGGCGAAGGAGAGGGCAAGGGCGACCTGGAGGGAGCGAAAGGGAGGTCATTAGTGCTACTGGGACACGAAAGCAAATCTCCCCACTTTCCCGCCCTTTTTCCAACCCCTCCACGAGATTGTCGGGGGTTCCACCACCCTCCACGGGGGTGCAAGCGCGATGCATCGCGGCCCGGAGGTGCACCTGCACTCCACAGCTTATGTGTATATCTGTGTGAATAGGGAAAGAGAAAGAGATGGAGAGGGAGAGAGAGAACTCGCTGCCGGGTGGAAGGGTGAGCTCCCTCGTTAGGGGTGGGCTCGCGTGTAACGCGGTCGCGGAAAAGAGGGGAGGGTAGGGGGAGGGCGAGAAAAGATTAGGTCGCACTCGCGACCTCGTCCTTGCCGGGACGAGATCGGGGAACCCTCTCTTTCCGCGGTCAGCGTCTTTCAGGGTGTCTAGCGGTCAGGGAAACCTGGAAAACCGGGGCATTGTCAGGGAATTTTGAATCTACAAATCTGGAATTGTCCGTGAGATTTTACTATTTATTACTGGATTTTTTCATATTATTCTACATTTTATTTTTGAAATTTTTTATTTCATAAATATAAACTTTTCCTTGACTTTTCAATCCGCACTTGATACACACGATACTTTGTATTACAAGTGCAGGCAACGTGGCACTTTGTGTGCGCGAGGTGGCCGATCGCACGCCGCCATCTTGCGATGGCACGGTGCGGGAATAGCCGCGTTCAAAGTCATTGTCCACGGCTGAAGCCGTGAACAATGTATTGCCCACGGATTTAGCCGTAGGCAATGACTTTGAACGCGGCTCAGCCGTAGGCAATGGCTTTGAATGCGGCTTATTTACTCACCGCGTCGCCGCTGATGGCGGCGTGGGAAATCGACCGCTTTCCGCACAGAAAACACGCACACAAAGTGCCACTTTGCCTGCACGTGTAATACAAAAATATATATATTCATATTTTTATTTCTAAATTTTTATCGCTTACTGCTTAAGTTCTACTATTTAAGTATTCTTATGTGCTATGATTCTAAATCAAAGTTATCTGAAAATTTTTCCAGATAATTTAGTAAGGATAATACTTTTTTGCATTTAAGATACATATATAATATATAATAGATAATACATATTTTTATTATATATTATATAACAAAAAAAATAAAAAGTCTATATAAAGATAAGATGACGCCAAAGTTTCATCTAGACGATCATCTATATAATTTTATTTAGATATTACAGCAAACGCTGGTTACGCGTATATCGAGATCCTGCGAGGCGAATTTCGATCGATCGATCGATCGCTTTTGACGTACCGGTTCAGGATGAATTTGTAATGTTTATCTCGTCAAAGAGCTCTTTTTCTCTGTCTCTTTCTTTCTTCCGATTACAATATAGCAGCGGATCAATGTATTTGCGATAAACGCGGGCACCCCGCGTAAATACCATCGCGTACGGTCATTAATTATTCGTGTGTTGACGGAAATAGTTGCATTGATTTTACGCGGCTATTTATCGACCTCAAACAGACTATCGTATTACGTTGAAACTTTCAACAGCCTGTATATCTTGGTGTAATTGATATGAACAGTTACTTTGCCATTTAATTTTATATATGCATATAATTAGAATATACATAGGTTTTCCTCGCTTGTTCGAATATAAAATAATTCAATTTGGCAGCTGTATATGTATATATTAATTTTATATACATATAATTTTGCGTTATACAGGGTGTATTTAAATAAGTGCGACAAATTTTAGGAGATGATTCTTTGTCGAAAATTAAGAAAAGTTTCTTATATAAATATATACTCTTATATTCCTCCCTTGACGAGTTACACTTTTCTAAAGAGGGAGGTAAACATTAAGTTTTTTTTTCATATTTTGAGACAAATTGAAATGAAACTTGGTGGATGTTTTCCACTAATAAAAAGGATATTTATTAATATTTTTTATCTTCCTGTATCATTATAAGAGGATGAAACCAACACCCTGTGTTTAATTTTTTTCTTTTTTTATTTCTAGAGTATGTTTACGTAAGAAAACACCCCAAGAATCATCTTCTAAAATTTTTCACGCTTATTTAAATACATCCTGTATATACATATATAAAATGCATATTTTTCATTGAGGAGACACGTATAATGTGTATTCAATTTCCGTTTGATGGAATTTCAGGGGATCCGAAAAGCAAAACTTTCAGAGCTTAAGATAGACTTTAATTACTCAATTACCATCTTAATAGATGGCTTGTAGTTTTAGTC